AACAATATTTTACATTACATAACTTGGAGTTTGAGTTTGCCAGCGTAACTATTCGGATGAAATACACAACAGAGGGAAAGGGCAATGATTAATGTAAGATTTTTATGCGGTACTATTCTGAACCGCATAAACGTCTTACAGATATTTTACATGGAAAACTTATCAATTCCTATATTATTTATCGACACCTCCACACGGGGATTACTTTGATACATCGACACGCCATCCATACAATTCGCCTTGCTAGACCTTTATAGATTATTGCCTGCTCACAGCCCCTGTGGCAAAAGATCAACACGTATGTCAATACTTGTCCACGTCTATTAATAAGTTAGCGGAGAGAAGATGCATTTCCCAGAATGGGAAATTTGCACGTGGACTTGTTATGTCCCCACCCATGGCACCGTGTGCACTTTCTTCGATTGACCCTCTACACAAAATCAGGCAGAACGGCGTCAGTACTTAGTCCAAAGCAGTGAAAGCGGTTGCTGTTAATTTTGTTAGACTACTAACCTTGAACTCCCCCCTGGAAAGGATTCGCTGTTTACGCGGACGACCTGGTGGCCTACGCACCGCCGGCGGAGGCAAACTACGTCTGTTTGAGAGGGCGTTAATGTGTCCATATCCGGGACTGGCATTATCAGCGACTTGTAAGCCATTTGTGTCACCTCTGTATGCACCTGCCAGAGTGTCAACCTGAATCCCTGCATGGACTGCTCCAGTAATTGCATGCTTACAAGAGATCTGTAGGAGTTGGAACTCCCGGTATGTGCAGCTCTTATCCCAAAGGTTGACAGCGTACGCAATGTCTCATGAGTCTCGTACTTCATACATGCATTCGGCTATCTTCATTACAAAATACCCAGACGATTTTTCAAAATTCTCGACAACCATCTCTTCTATCTTTCGAGTCAGAACACCTCCCGAAGTTGTAGCGGCCTCTCTGCGCATAGCAAACCAGGAAACCAAAGTAGTACAGATTGTCTCCAGTATAGTGATTACCGGGAAATCCCTTGCCATTGTTAGGACATTGTTCAGGGACTCAGAGACATTGCTGCTCATCACGTTGTCCCGATCACCCACGAAATGGGACCTCGTCCAGTGCTCAAATCCTAGATTCTCCAGATACGCTGCACATTTCATGTCAGTCTCCCTTATTTCTTTGAAAATCCTGTCGAACTCACACAAGCGGTAAGCCCTGGCAGCCTGGGAGACAGTAGATGTGGAGCTTTGAAGAGTGTCTACACGTTCCGTTGAAGGTGAACAATGCAAGCGCTGTGGGAGGTCATTGGATACACCTGGTTGAAAATTTATTCATGTCAGCGTCAATATTTCTGATATCACGTAACATTAAAACTGCAGAAGGGTTCACCCTAACCGCATACCTTTCGTATCCCAGAGTATATTGACGCATGACGGTAGGAGACGAAAACCAGATTCGGGTCGTCGGGGACTATGGCTGAGAGCTTTTCTAGAAACCACTGCTAGGAGGCGTCGTTTTCACTGTTAACAATGCCAAAGGCCAGAGGAAATAGTTGGAAATTACCGTCCTGCGCGCTTGCAGCGACAAGGCACCCGCCATAACGACCTTGAAGATGAGTGCCGTCGACAATCACCACTTTGCGCATGATTTGGAACCCCTCAGTACACGCAGCAAGAGAGAAAAACAGGTATTTGAAACGCTCGAAACCACCTTCACTAACCTCCGTCTCTAGGGCAACAATGGAGCCAGGGTTCGCTTGCAGAAGTCGTTCAAAGTAAGGAGAGATTAGCGCGAAGCTCCCCATCGAAGATCCCATTACCTTGTCCAGGGCGATCTCTCTTGTCCTCCATGCCTTCCAGTAGCTAACATGTAAGCTAAATTCTTGGCGCAATATTCTCCTCAGCTAATAAGCACGTGGTCCCCTGCCTTCGCTACTATATTTAGAACGGACAATGTCCCCGATCACCTCACACGGCGCCTGGACGTGGTAGTTACCCCTGACATTGACGTCACATGTATGATGTAGTACCACGCTTCTCACCTCGTACCTCCCGGTCTCGTCCATTCTCGTTGTGTACACTCGCCAAGGGCAACCCTCGCCGACGCACTCCATGAGCATAATATCCAGCTTTGACTTGATGTATCAAAAATTAATTTTTCGGTTTATGGCGTGTATCGCCAATTTCATCTTGCAGTCGGCTTTGCATTTTGAATATACGGTCGTCGTAGATATCATCGCCCTCATAGTCCACGTCTCGCAATGCCTTGTCCAGTTCATCTGCTAAGACCATTAACAGTAACACGATTAGCAAATAAGTTAACACTCCAACAACACATTAATATGGCACATCCATTCTCACCTTCTGCTACCGGATCGTCGAAATATGGCGGTGCGTCCCAGGCATGTAGCATTGGTACGATGCAGACCTCACCCTTGTCGAGCAGTGCCCTACTTGTCTGCGTCACACTATCACAGACGCAGATGACTGGCAGTTTACCCAAACTCTTTTCATTTTCGATTGCCTCATATACGCCCACACCACCCAAGGAAAGTGCGATCCCTTTCTCCTTGTCCACAACTGGTGTTGTCCCGCACGCCAGGTCCCCAGCAGGTGCAGGCGTTTCTAGATGTGATTCTGCTTCTGTCAACTCCATTTCAGTGGGTACTATGGTATCTCTTGTTTGGGGCGCAGTTTAATAATGTTAGCGCTGAAGACGTATTGTTGGCAGTAATTTATTTCTTACGCTAACCTACCTGTTAGCGATATACAGAAATTGTTACAATATATCTTCGAGAATTCCCACTCATCTGAGGTTTCGCAATCCGTTGAAAGGCAGCCGGTTGGTGTGGATGTCAAATCTGTTGAGCTTATCGTAAGGACTTGGACCTCGCTGCTTGCCCCAACCGCAGGACCCGACCTGCCAATGTACGCCCTACCTAGACTTAGTTGTAGCTCTATCTCCAGATTTTGCGGTTTGAGATGCCGACGTCTGTCGTCGTTACTTGTGCGCTCGGGGTTCAAATTGTTGGCAACTGCTTCCGCGTTGAAGTACTGCCATAACTCATTTAATTCTCGCGGTTGACTCCCCTGGACTGCGCGGGTAGCAAATACAACGGATCAAGGGTCGTACTCACATACATATTATTCATCGTTGCTTAGTGTTCGGTAGTACCCACTGTGCGGGGACCAGGGGCTGTACGTTGCTAGTGGCCACGGAGACGGATATGGCAATTGGCTTGCATGAAGACCCGCAGCTCCGGCAATACTGGTAGCAGGCGGGGCTGTTGTTAGTCCGCTAACCCTGTTATCGTCAAGACATCCTTTGTTAGCAATCTCCGGATATGTAACGCTAACGCGCATGTAAACTTCTGGAAGGTCCGCCCTTATCGCCAGAAACAAGCTGGCTCCTTCGTTGTCAGAGATCAGAATGGGTGGTGCTCGCCTCCATTCCGGACCCAACATCTAGTGCGGCCACTGGTAACTCAACTGTACTTGCTCATGAGGCTGCAAGCGCAATTTCTCCCTAGTAACCTGTTGCATTGTGAGGAAATCTGCATTTTCGATTAGAGTGACGGCGTGGTTAAGGGTGCTTCGATCCGCAACATGATTCCACCAGCCTTCCTCACGCCTGATCCATTCGCCGTAGACCACACCCACAGAGTGCGCCATTTCACTAAATTGTTCACAGTTATGTTAGCAACCTAACTTACCCGGAGATAACATCATTCATCCACCTTTTTAGTTTATATGTTTCATTACCTTTGCCCACCGATAGTTAATGCAGGATCAACAACCTTGACGAGTAATTAAAGCAATCAAGGCAATTGTTATGTCAAATATCTCTTTTGAAAAGAAGAAGAGTAACTGAAAGATCCACCACTTCATCTTTCCTAAATAATCGCCCGAGGCACAGATATTTTTACTCTACATGTTTTATAATTTTTTATAACCCCTTATTTTTATTGGACTTATTGTCTAAGCAACTTCAGTATCCAGATTTACCTATCGGTGGCGGAAAATCTTGTGGACGTCACTTCCTATTTAATACTCCGAATCACTTCCCGCCATCCACTACCCAAATAGGGATAATATCGTCAAACGATACGCAACTATATTATGTTTTTATCAAATTATCCACTTATTTGCTCAGAATCTTTCGTTTCTCTATTAATATGAGCCAGTTACTAAATTTACCCTTAATTTTATATTTTGCCGCAAACAAAATCTACCGCTACATAAATTAAGCTTTGACAGCCAAAATGTTTTAATTACTAAATCTGAATCTTAAGAATATAATTTATATATTATCAAATTACATACTGGAAAACGTTTTAGAAATATACAGTAGTTTTTTAAAACTATACGCGTACACATTTTTATGTCATAAATTATATTGTGTGCGTGACGTTGGTTTTATTAAGTAGGAATCCTCTAAAAATTCCTAAATCAAGATTATAATAAATATCCAAATATGGAAAAACTTAGTGCTATATACAAATAACTTATTATCATCAAAGATCTCAGATATTCATTCCAACACGTATCTACCAAACATAATAATAAAGCTAATCGTCGGAGAAATGGAAGCTTACTCAACTAATTACAATTTACACATATGGTAGGTATACACAATAGAAAGAAATAAAAAAGGTAAATAAATATAAATGAGAATCATTATGTTTGAGAAAATATCTACACAGATCAAATCAGCATCCAAAATTTCAGCAATTACAAATTTAGATGAACCGGTTCACTCACTAAACCAGTACCAAAATCCTTAAATCCTCTCTTTTTCTTGGGTTCCCAAAATAAATAAATAAATAAAAAGAGAATAAAATCTTCAATTTTCTCTCCACCTCTTTGTCAGAGAAGTTTCAAAAACCCACACACTTTACACACTCTTCATCTTCCTCCTCTTCCTTCGTCTTCTTCTTTCTCCAATTGTTTCGATTTTTCCCCCATAATGTCGTTTCCGTAGCGGAAGATCATCGAAAATCCTCCTTCCTAAGCAAAAAATGGCGGCAGCTACTTTTCTCTCGCGGTTTTCTGTTTTCGCTATCGTCTTTTCCTTGGCTCATCTCTCTGGATTTTCTCTCGCCGGCGATCCTTTCGTCTCCTACATTTTCGATGTCTCTTACATCACCGCTTCTCCTCTCGGCGTTCCTCAACAGGTTTCGTTTCGCTTTTTTTACTTTTTTTCTCCTGTGAAATCTCGTTTCTCGGGGTTTTAGCTCTCTGATGCAACTTCTCGGTGTAATCTGATCCTTCTTTAGACATTTTGTTGTGATTTCGGTCTTCGATTTCGCTCAGAATCATCGTTTTGTTTCATGGATCTAAGAAATGGTTCGTCAGTGGCGGTTATCGCAAGTTTACTGGGTTTTAGATAGTGATGATCTGCTTCCTTCTCAGTATAGATGTAACAGAATCACGATTTCTCGATCTAACGCAACGAACTGTTCTTATCTCTCAATGTTGATTGGGGTTTATGAAAAATGTATTACTGGAAATCTTCGATGTTACATAGCCAAAACTAAGCGTATTTGATCGGATTTTGTCATTGCAGGTTATAGCAATCAATGGGAAATTCCCAGGCCCTGTGATTAATGCTACCACAAACTTCAATGTTGATGTTAACGTGTTCAATCATTTGGATGAGCCTCTCTTACTCACTTGGTGATGATCTTTAACATTCTGCAGAGTTTTTAGGGTTCTTGTTGATTCCTGACACTCTGATTAATTCTGATTAGGAATGGTATTGAGATGCGGCGTAACTCATGGGAAGATGGTGTTCTTGGCACAAACTGTGCCATTCCTCGGAATTGGAACTTCACTTATAGCTTTCAATTGAAAGATCAGATTGGGAGTTTCTTCTACTTCCCTTCACTCAACTTCCAAAGAGCTTCTGGTGGTTTTGGTCCACTCATAATCAATAACCGGGAGATGATTCCTATCCCGTTCCATAAACCTGATGGCGAAATCAGCTTTATGATTGGTGATTGGTACACTCAGAACCATACAGTAAGTGCACTTGAGATCCATCACTTTTGATCTGATTTGTTAGTTGCAATGCCTTTATAATGGTGAAACTCTGTTTGCTTTTTTATTAGGCGTTGAGGAGTATACTTGACTCTGGTAAAGAACTTGGGATGCCTGATGGAGTACTCATCAATGGGAAAGGTCCTTTCAAGTACAATAGCAGTGTACCTGATGGAATTGAATATGAAACCATTAATGTTGATCCAGGTAACATCAGTCAAAAGTGTGTGATTTGTGCTGTTTTGTGAAAGTCTTTGCATTGAAAATCCAAAGTTTATTATACATATTTGCAGGGAAAACATACAGGATCCGTGTTCACAATGTTGGTATATCGACAAGTTTGAACTTCAGGATCCAGAACCACAAGTTGCTCTTAGCTGAAACCGAAGGTCGATACACCGCACAAACAAACTTCACAGATTTCGACATCCATGTGGGACAGTCTTACTCTTTCTTGGTCACCATGGACCAAAACGCCTCAAGCGACTACTACATTGTGGCGAGTGCTAGGTTTGTGAATGAAACAGTGTGGCAAAGAGTCACAGGTGTTGGCATTCTCCATTATTCCAATTCCAAAGGAAGTGCTTCTGGTCCTCTCCCAGTTCCATCAACTGATGTTTCTCACCCTTGGTCTGTCATGAACCAACAAAGAGCCATAAAGTATAGTCTACAAAAAACTCTTTCAAAGCAAAGTGAATGCTTTTAATCTAGCCATGTAAATGTGAACCCTGATTCTTTTTATTTTGCAGGCAAAACACATCTGCAAGTGGAGCTCGTCCAAATCCGCAGGGATCATATCATTACGGACAGATAAACATCACAAGCACATACTTCCTGAGGAGTATGCCTCCAACGATGATCAATGGGTCGCTTCGTGCTACGATTAATGGGATTTCATTTCTGAATCCAAACACGCCCATGAGGCTTGCGGATAGGCATAAAGTGAAAGGAGTCTACAAGCTGGATTTCCCAAACAAACCTCTTGAAAATAGACCTCCCCGTTTGGACAGATCTATCATCAACGGGACATACAAAGGCTTTATGCAAATTATCTTCCAGAACAATGACACCAAAGTCCAGAGCTTTCATATCGATGGATATTCCTTCTACGTCGTTGCGTAAGAAAATCAAATCATTTCACTCATGATCATATATTTATTTACGAGTTTCAATTCCTCTGACATGGATTTTTCGAAATCTGGTATCGCAGGATGGACTTTGGTATTTGGACTGAAGACAAAAAAGGTTCATATAACAACTGGGATGCAATATCACGAAGCACAGTCGAGGTAAAATGTCTCTCTGTACACACCACTTGATGGTAAAAATGTTGTTTACTTAATTGAGTTTTTTCTCATGTGGTTGCTTCAGGTTTATCCAGGGGCATGGACTGCTGTGCTTATGTCTCTCGACAACGTCGGAGTTTGGAACATAAGAGTTGAGAATCTTGACAGATGGTATCTTGGCCAAGAAACTTATATACGAATCATAAACCCGGAGGAAAACGGTAAAACAGAAATGAGTCAGCCTGGAAATGCTCTTTACTGTGGCGCTCTCGCGTCTTTGCAGAAGTAAAACTTCACTCTCTCTCTTTTTCTCACATATTAATTACCTCTCTAGATGATTTGGATGAAAGTATCTTAAGACCGCATACTTTGTTTGGTGGTTTCCGTGCAGGGAACAGCAGCATAGCTCCGCAACATCAATAGTTAATGGACAGTTGAATCTAATTTTCAGCTTGATGATGGTTTTGCTCGCCTTGGTTTCAATCGGTTAAGAATCTTCTCTGATTGTTGTATTACAAACCTTTGGGCTCTTTTTTTCTTTGATTTCATTGATTGTTTGTTACTGTGTACTCTGATCTTTTACTTCTCATGGTTCGAAACAAACTATATAGTTCGTGAGGGTTTGTGTCTAAATAATCGTTCTTAGTAGTTATATAGGTCTTTTGGTGTTCAGAATCATGGGTCTTCTATATTATTTCTACAATTAACCTCAGTATCGGATTATTATTAACAATGCTTAAAACTTGAGATGGACAAAAGTCTCATATTTGGTCACTGTTCACTACGAGAATGTACATTTTATTGGTACAGTTATTAGAATCAAATGTTGGGACCGGACGGAAATTTCGGTTTTGTTCCCTTTTCCGGTATCTCAAATAAGAATGGAATTGGAACATTACTTATATTCAGAGTCGTAACATTTTACATCATTGTAATTATAAGGACGAAAAAGTAACAAACACACCAAGATATGGCCTTTATAGACCGGAAGTGAAAGGTATACCGGTTCGTGGGAGCCACGCAGAACCGGCGATGAACCTACCAACAGTGAAAGCAGATGCATCAGAAGCTCTGTTCAACACATGAAACCCTTTCCAACGAACACGCCACCTCGTGGACGAAGCCGGTCCACTATTCTTATACTCCGCATAGAACAACGTATCTAAACCGAAAACCGAACCTTCGGTCCACGGAGACCACCCGAAAGGACTCACAACACTATCCAAATACGTCTGAAGAACCACGGTGCGTGAGTACTTCATCCAAGGCCTACCCATATACGTCTTAACGCTAGGTAGAACCGGTCTTAGATCAGGAGCCGGTAGGATTCTTGAGTTATGGATTGAGATCCCTGTGTTCTGAAATGGATCAGCACGACCTTGTGCGGTTATAACATTTGCTTGGCCTTTGAGTGGCCGGCGAGGGAGGATGAGGCAGTTTTGGAAAACCGCGGCTGCGTTTCCGAAGATGAAATCGACGGTTCCGTATATGTAGCAGTCACGGTAAAACTGGCGTTGTGAATGGACCATTAATGTGTCTTGGTATCCTTCGATTGAGCATTTGTAGAAGATTGAGAGGTCTGAAGATGACCGGAGTGCCACGGCCTGGCCCTTGGCCGGACCTGCCGTGTTCCGGAATGTTAGACCTTTGGCTATGAAGTGAAGTCCCTCGATACCTGGATGATCACATGCAAATTTAGCCAATTGTTACATAATGAGAGAAAAAATGAAATTAAATGGTAACGCTTACTTATTTTGCGGGAAATAAAGCAACGGTTACGTCTTATATCTTTTTTAATTTTCTGTCGTGAGGTTCTAATCATAATTGATGACGATCCCAATGTATAATTTAACTTGGACGTCTCCGCCACGAATCTTATCGATTGGTAAACTCATTTCGTACGGAATATTCGATTTTTTTTTATTAATGACTTTAGAATTTTTTTTTTTTTTTTTTTTTATAAAAAGGGCTTGACTTTAGAAACTTGTTAGATCCAATCCATGCATTAACTAAAATGTTAAATAAATAAAATATTAGAAGAGTTAATTATTTACCGGCAGTGGCGGAATTGTAAGTGGTGTAACCACCTCTCACACTACGACCTCCGGTGATAATGGTGGATCTCATTCCATCTCCGACCAACATTATGTCATCGTTATTCAGACGTACGTTTATGTTTTCTTGATATATCCCTCTCTTCACGTATATTACAAACCTCCCTGACGTCACTTTTCTCCGTCCCGCCAAGTCAATAGCTGCTTGCACCGTCGTGACATGTCCGGATCCGTCTTTAGCCACCACGAGGTTGGCTTTGACGGCACGTGCTGATTGAAACTGCAAAAGTCGCCTCTCTTTACCGGAAACCCACGTCGGAAAACCCTTTTGATCAGCCGTGGTGGTGCCGTTGTTTGTGGCGGTCAAGAGGGCTCCGTTGACAGCTAAGCAATTGCTTATTAGGTTGGAGATTTTAGTGTCTGAAACGATTGGTGTGATGAAATCCGAGACATTGAAATCTGATGAGCCACGTCGGCAAGTCTCGGTGTTTGTAAGCGCGGTGCTCAGCCAGGTCTGAGCGTCGAAGTCGGTGCATCGTTTTCCTGCACTAGTTTTCGGAGACACACCCTGCAGCGTCCGGTTTAGCTGCACGACCGTGTCTCCATAGAGGTCGATGCAGTCGGCCAAAACGGCTTGTTTCTTGCAATCAGTGCAATTCCGTCCGGAATTAGTTAACTCGTCCCGGGCGGATACGGCCCGGTCCATGGCTGCTTCGACAAGCATTACTCGGAACTCCGATAGTTGTGTCGGCAGTCGAAAACCATTGTGGGTTTTGAAGTAGTGTTTGCATGGATCAGGGTAAGGAGTTTGGTCGCACCACCGGTCAATGCCGGTTGTGGAATTGCCGTCGGCTACTACGGTGGTGGGAGGATGGAGGGAGATTAGTAATAGTAAATGTAAAAATGGAAAAAAGATTGTGTGCTTCATCACATTCATGTTGCTTCCTTTGCTAAGTGTTGTGGTTTTGGCGTGAGGAATTGAATGTAATTCAAAGTAAAATGTTAGAGACTAGAGTGGGAACATGACTCTTATCTGTATATTTATATATTGTGGTGGTATTAGCATTAATGCATAACAAGCAAACAAAATTTATATTGCGAGGTCAATAGATCATGCAGTGAGATCTACCTTTGCGTTTATGTTGTTTAGCTCCATGGCTGTTTTCTTATTGCGTGAACGATTCTATCACTATTAGTATAAAGATATTATTTTACGGTGACTTTTAACAAAAGTTTCGACTCTTTTTATTTAGTTAGACACTGAATGAATTAGCATGCTGATTAATTTCTTCCCAAGATAAAGATTCAAACTTGTGATTCTGAGGCGCACTCTTTTTTATTTCTGTATAAATTTATACACTGGAAGACATTGTTCATATTTTGACCTACTCTTATTTACTTATTCTTAATTTGACACTTTATAATTATTGTAAAAGAAGCAAGCTAAAAGAAACTAGTTCTTAAACAATTATACTTTCCCAACTTCAAATACCGACAAGTCCGGCCATAAACCATCGGCAGCGACTATAGCTAGAAGAACGCCGTACGAGATCTTCGAATCTTTAAACAATTGTTAAAAAAAACAATCCGACAGGTTGAAGGTATTAAATAGGATTATTAATGTTTTGCCGAAAAAAAAAAAGGATTATTAACATCCTATATAATATACAAGAAGTAAAAGTCATAAGCAAATGCTTTGTTGTTCATACCATTTAATTATCTTCTCTCCTGATGGGGAATCCTTCACTTCACATGCAATTTATATCTTCAACCACCATAATTAACTACTAGTCTCAAATCTAAAATAAATGCAAAAGCTGTTAATTTTTTTTCTTTGATTAAAATATCATCAAGACTGTAGTTTAGTGGTTTCTATCATTTCACAATTTTATTTTGTTTAGAACCTCACCAAGACTATATTTAGTGGTTTCAATTTTTTTTTTGTCAACCGGTTTCAGTTTTTCTCTTCACCATATTATCAACATGATTTAATGTGGTTCCACTGTAGTTCAATATAGTTCAGTAATATCCATGAAAAAAATAACATGAAAAAGCTATTGATATGTATGATAATTATATTTTTATTAAATCATAAAATAAAATAAAAGAATACAATGAAATTGAAAATTTTGTCTACAGCTTAATTTGTTTGCACCTCGTGACAGTGGAAATGAATTTGGTTAGCTGTGCCTGTGCGCTTCAAGAAAAAAAAAAGTAATTAGGCCCTGTTCGTTTTTGTATTCAGATGCTTTATTTGGATGCAAATACTCAAATATTGTTTGTTTGAACACTTTTAAACCAGTATTTAGATATTGCATCTGGATGCAAAATTAAAAATATCTCAAAAATCTGGATATTTGAGATGGTAAAAAAAGTAGTCTAGATACAGCATTTGCATCTCAAAAACAAAAAATCAAAATATTCTTTAATATGATAGAAATAATATAACTAAACTTAGATTTATTACTTCTTTGCCAAAATGGTAAAATAAAAAAGATAAAATCATAATTTCTATAAAAATCGTAAATTCAATTTTCCATAAAAACTGTAAAATGAAATGTTCCCGCCAAAACCACAAAATAAAAATTTTCCGTCAAAACAAAAAATCGATTTTCTATCAAAACCGTAAAATCGAGTTTCCCGCCAAAACCAGAAATCGAGTTTTCACGCTAAAATCGGAAAATCCTGTTTTTCCGCAAAAACCAGAAAATCCTGTTTTCCTGCCAAAACTGGAAAATTGGATTTTCCCGTAAAAACCGGACAATCAATTTTTTTTCCATCAAAATAGCAAAATTAATTTTTTTGCTAAAAACAAAAAATCGAGTTGTCCCGCCAAAGCAGTAAAACTGGATTTTTTCGCCAAAACAAAAAATCAAATTTCCCGCCAAAACTGAAAATCGAGTTTTCACGCTAAAACAGGAAAATCCTGTTTTCCTGCAAAAACCGGAAAATCCTGTTTTTCTGCCAAAACTGGAAAATCGGGTTTTCCAGTCAAAACCGGACAATCGATTTTTTTCCATCAAAATAGCAAAATTAATTTTTTCGCTAAAAACAAAAAATCGAGTTGTCCCGCCAAAGCAGTAAAACTGGGTTTTCCCGCCAAAATCGAAAAATTAAATTTTTCGCCAAAACTAGGAAACCGGATTTTTTCGCCACAATAACAAAATTGAGTTTTTTCGTCAAAACAATGGTTTTCCATCAAAACTGCAAAATTGAGGTTTTAAGTCAAAATTACGTTTTTCCGTCAAAACCGTAAAATTAAGTGTTTCCGACAAAATCATGGTTTCTGTCAAACCGTATTTTTCTGCCAAAACTGTACCAAATTTTCTCGCTCAGACTGCAAACTGGTATTTTTTCGCCAAAACCGTAAAATTCTTTTATTTTGTTAACATTACAAAAACGAGTTTTCTCGCCAAAATTGTATTTTTAGTCAAAACTATTTTTGTCAAACTTTTTTTATAAAAAAACTATTAATTTATATGATCATAAATAAATCATTTTAATTGTAGATAAAATTAATAAAATAAAAATATATCTTTTTGGTCATTTGAAATATTTTGCATTCAGATTTTTTTATAAATACACAAATGAACAAAGTTGCATCTAAATGCTGCATCCAAATACAAAACTTAGTTTTAAAAAGGAACGATATCTAAATGCTGCATCTGAAAACTGTATCTAGATGCTAAATCTAGATACAACATCTACATCATGAAACGAACAGGACCTTAGTAAATTTTCGTCGATCTAAAATATATTCCAGAAAGTCTGAAAATATACACTGTGCGTAGAACAATTCAGGATTGAAAATAAAAATGCTACGTACTGTAATGAGTTCAAATGATTGTAATTTGTTTTTGTTTTTATTCCACACAATAGATTCCTTTTTTGTTAGTCTATAACTTGCATCAGATTATGCACATATAACTGCTAGTTGAATCCGAATGGGATGGCGATACGAGTGAAGAATTAATACGCTAGTTCTTGTCAGTTCATTGGCCATGTACACAGATCATTAAATATGTTTTTATCTATTTAAAACGTACACTTATCACTATAATTATTACTATATAATAATATAAATGCATTTGGAATAATTATATAGTTTGATTTATTATGAACATTCAACTTGTCGAGAAAGATGGCATGTTCGTCTTTTCTGTTGAATAGTTAGAAGTATATTAAAAAAATAGTGAGCCATGTGATCGCTGGAGTGTCCATTCACACATTCTCACGCAATCACCACATTTCTCGTACATCCCTTCTTATGCTTTCGATCTTCTTTATATGAAAGGATTGTTACAGTTCTAAAATCATAGAAACAACTGTTTTAAAACGAAAAAAAAAAAAAAATCTTAAAGTAATGCAAACACAACTTAACTCATATTTAAAATTTCAGAAATCAAAATAAATCATGATTGTTAACATGAATGAGTTATCTATGAGTTAGACTCATAACTCAACTTACATAAGTTATACTACATGTTTCCAATCGCACTCTAAAGACCTCAATTCCATTGGTTTTCTATAATTTCTTTTACCACTAGCGTCATATCTGAATATCAGATAAGCAATGCCAAAACTAAAGATGAAAAAACAAGCCTCATCTTGTTTCATATGAGAATGTAATTTTGATTGGAATAATTATTAGGATCACATTTTGAAATTGGAGGGGGACATAAGTTTTGGTTTTTGTTCCGTTCTGTTGCATTCACATATTTCCACTCCGAGAGTGAAACAGGACATGATTCGTAATATCCAAAAATTACATTTGTCCATTTATAACTAGAACTTCATTTTCATAATAAGCATAATGAATGTATATTCAAGATTGCAAAATTTTACATCATTATAAATTTAAGCACGGAAAACGAAAGACGGTCTTCATTTAGAGTCCGGAAGCAAAGGGTATGCTGGTGCGTGGGAGCCACGTAGAACCGGCGATGAACCTTCCAACAGTGAAAGCAGATGCATCAGAAACTCTACTCAACATATGAAACCCTTTCCAACGTACACGCCACCTCGTGGACGAACCCGGTCCGATATTCTTGTACTCCGCATAGAACAACGTGTCAAGACCGTACGTAGAACCTTTAACCCACGTAGACCACCCAACCGGACTCACAAAACTATCCAAATACGTCTTCATAACCACGGTGCGTGAGTACTTCATCCAAGGCCGGCCCATGTACGTCTTAACGCTACGGACCAGTGGTTTTAGATCAGGAGCCGGTAGGATTATGGAGTTATGGATAGAAATCCCTGTGTTCTGATAAGGATCAGCACGACCTTGTGCGGTTATTACATTGGCTTGGCCTTTGAGCGGTCTGCGTGGGAGGATAATACAGTTTTGGAAAACGACAGCTGCGTTTCCGAAGATGAAATCGACGGTTCCGTAGATGTAGCACTCGCGGTAAAACTGGCGTTGCGAGTGGACCATTAGTGTGTCTTGGTATCCTTCGATGGAGCATTTGTAGAAGACTGAGAGGTCTGAGGATGACCGGAGTGCCACGGCCTGGCCCTTAGCCGGACCCGCCGTGTTTCGGAATGTTATACCTTTGGCTATGAAGTGAAGTCCCTCGATACCTAGATCACAAGTCAAAAATTGAAATCAAAATTTCTAGTGGTAATTCTTACTAATTTCGCTGGAGATATTCAATATTAATTATGTTTGTTTCTAAATTTATAACTTTCTAGATGGTGACATTTACTTTCTTAAAACCTCTAGTTAAGCTCAAACCAAAAATATGTTCTCAAACTTTCATCCAAATACATATCATATATATATATGTACTCAAATTGTTTGGAGAATTATTTGAACATCTACCTTTTTTAAAACATAAATTATATACTACTTGTTCCAATCTTGTATTAACTAAATATATATATATATATATATATATATATATATAGATTTAATAATTTACCGGCAGTGGCGGAACTGTAAGTGGTGTAACCTCCTTTGACACTCCAACCTCCGGTGATAATAGTATATCTCATTCCATCTCCGACCAACATTATGTTATCGTTACTAAGACGTACGTTTATGTTTTCTTGATATATCCCTTTCTTCACGTATATCACAAACCTCCCTGACGTCACCTTTCTCCGTGCAGCCAAGTCAATAGCCGCTTGTACCGTCTTGAAATGTCCCGATCTGTCCTTGGCCACCACTACGCTGGCTTTAATGGCACGCGCTGATTGCAACTGTAGAAGTTTTCTCTCTTTACCGGAAACCCACATCGGAAAATCCTCCGGATCTGCGGTGGTCGTACCATTATTTGCGGCGGTCAAGAGGGCTCCGTTGATGGCTAGGCAGTTGCTTATTAAGTGGGAGATTCTGGTGTTTGAAACGATTGGGGTGGTGAAATCTGAGACGTTGAGATCAGAGGAGCCGCGTCGGCAAGTCTCGGTGTTAGTAAGTGCGGTGCTCAGCCAGGTCTGAGCATCAAAATCGGTGCACCGTCTTCCAGCACCGGTTTTTGGAGACACGCCCTGCAGCGTCCAGTTTAGCTGTAGTACAGTGTCTCCATAGAGGTTGATGCAGTCGGCCAAAATGGCTTGTTTCAGGCAGTCAGTACAGTTTTGCCGGAAATGAGTCAGCTTGTCCCGAGCGGATATGGCCCGATCCATGGCTGCTTCGACCAGCATTACTCGGAACTCGGATAGCTGTGTCGGCGATCTAAAACCATTGTGGTTTTTGAAGTAGTGTTTGCATGGGTTCGGGTAAGGAGTTTTGTTGCACCACCGGTCAATGACGGTGGTGGAATTGCCGTCGGCTATGATGGTGAGAGGATGGAGACAGAGTAGTAATAATAAAAGTAAATGTAGTGATAGAAAGGAGAGTTTGTGCATCATCAAATCCATGTTGCTTCTTTTGCTAAGTGATGTGGGTTTTAGTGTGAAAGAGCGGAACTGAATGTAATTTAATGTAAAACGTAAGAGAGTCTAGAGAGTGGGAAGTGGGAACATCTACTCCAATCCATAATTATATATCGTGGTGGTATTATTAGCGTTAACACAAAACAAGCAAATGAACATTTATATTGTGACTTGTGAGGTCATGAGTGAGATATACATGTACCTTCGCATCTCTATATTGTTTAGCTCAATGGCTGTTTTCTTATTGCGTGTACGATTCTATCACTATTTGTTTATAGAGATATTGTTTAAGTACTTGGAAATATTTATTAAAAAGTGAGTCATGTGATTCTGTGAATGTGATCCCTCGAGTGTCCATGCACACACTCTCACGCATCCACCATATTTCTCGTACAACCCTCCTAAATCCTCATGCTGTTTTCCTTATTTTACGATGGAAATATCACCTTTAAGCTCTAAGATTATTCATACAACTGTTTCATCACGAAATAAGCTTTATGGTAATTTGAAATAGCAGAGAGTCATTAGTTGTAGACTTATAATTGTGTGAACGTCAAGAGCCACATGGAATGGAAACTATGGTTTTGGATTGGATCTGTAAGACAGAAAACAGAATTTGTCGTTGACTTTACGGCACCACGATTTTTAAGAAAATATGTTAATTGTAAACTTATAACATGCATAAAGATGGGATTTATATGTGTTTATATATATTATATTATTATAATGTATGGAAACTGTTGTAAAAAGCTTAAGAAAAGAAGGAGGTAATTTTCTTCTTATATATGTAAAAGTAGGAGGTAATCTTCTTATATATATTCATATATATAGAGAAAGAATGAATCAATGGATAAGTTGACAGAACAATTTTTTTATAATAAACAAATAATAAAATATTAAAAATTGATAAAAAACTATAATATTTTTTGATTATTTATCATTATTAATGTATTATGTATTATTTAATTAAAACTTTATTATAAAAAATATAATTGAGTAAAAACTATGTTAAAGGAAAATGAGTACAATAACATAAATTTCTTCTAAAAATAATGAACATAATATTTTTTTCATAGATCTTTAAATGACGCATTTCAATATTATGAATATGTTTTTTGAATATTGTGTTAGGAAGCACTTTTGTAAAAGATCGGCTGTATAGTAACATGAATATATATTTATTACTTCTTAATTCTTTTCGAGCTCTCGTATCTAAGAGGAAAATCTTAGAGGAATATGCTTTATTTAATTCTTCTTAATATAATCTTATTTGAGTTGGGCGACACATGCAATATTATTTTTAAATATTTTTGTTGGTTTCTTCTTTGTGTCTATTCTATTTGTCTCTTTTATGTGATGAATCATATATATATGAGCCATTTGTATTTCCTACAAGCTTCATATAATTCAATAATTTCTGCATAATTTGAAGAAGTTGCAACCAAAATCTGCTTTTGGGAACGTCAAGAGATCATCATTCTACCAACTGTGAAAACATATCCTGTTTTTGATCGAGCCTTGTGTGGATCTAATAAATATCATGCATCTGCAAAACCAGCAAGACCAGCCTCATGGTTTAAAAAATAAAATAAGCCAAAGTAAATAGTACTTTGTAGATAACGGAATATATATTTTATTCTATTCCAATGTCTCCGAGTGAGAGATTAGCTATATACTGCAAGTAAATTGGTAGCACAAGCTATATTTGGTCTAGTACAATTTGCAAGATATATAAGCCCACTGATAGCACACATATAAGGTATTTTATGATCTAATATTTCTTCGCTATCCTCACAAGGCCGAAACAGATCTTTATCAACGTCATTCAATCTATTGACCATCAAAGTATTCAAAGAAGTCACTTTATCCATATTAAATAATTTTAAAATCTTTTTCGTATAATTAGATTAATGAACAAATTATCTGTCTTGGAAATACTCTATATGGAGCCCAAGACAAAACTTTATCTTTACAAGATCTTTCATTTCAAACTATTCCTTCATATGAGTTCTTCCATCAACAATCTCTTTTTGTAGTTTCAATTATGTTTAGGTCATCAACATAAATAACAATGATCACAAACCCAAATAAATATTTCTTAATAAAAACACAAGGGCATATCGCATTGTTGATGTAATATTTACTGATGTATCATGGTTTTTATGGTTTTTAACCATGATATAAGTTCTTTTTATTGAGTATTTTTGGTCTTTTTAGAGTCCTAGAAGAGTCTTTGCAGGTTATAGCATGTCTGGAGCATAATTGGAGATTTTGGAACCTTTTGGAGCATTCTGAATTGAAGCCACGAAGTACCAAGCTCGAAGCAGAAAGTATCCCATATGGTGACGCTCATCACCACCCTTGGTGACGCTCGTCACCCATCAAGGAAGGAGCGTGGTGGATTTATTAAAAGTATGAAGAATATTTGCAGAGTTGACCCATAAGTTCTATTAATTACAAGAAGACCCCAAATCGTGTTTAGCCTCTATTTATTAGGTTTTTCAGCCATTATTGGCGGGGATCTTAGTTTTTGAGAATTTAGAAAGCTTAGAGAGATATTTATTCAGAGCTTTTTAGGGAGACAAATCCTGTACTATTTTGAGAAGATTTCGAACCCCCTTATTCTTTTACTCTTTCTCTTAATGCAATATTATTCAGTTATGTTTTGTGATCCCATGATCATGTCTGAGTAATCTGTTAGTTAAGTTAGGGCTTTTCAAGGGTTGATGAAGAGATTGTAGAATCATAATTCTGTTAGGAATATCTTTTGGTTTTTCATCTCTGCTTGCTTTAAAATCGAATTTCTGAGAAACATCATCTTGGAATCCGAAAATCTTAGGTTGTTAAATATATGTGAGAGCATTATTCATAACCTGAGCTAGTATTTGATGAGCAAAACAACTTTTTGCAAAGAGATTTGACTTAGGAGTTTTGTAAACAATTGAATCTGATCATTCCTGCATGCTTAGGTTGTTAGGATTTGCAAAAAGATTTGAAACTCTGTGATTTAGGCATAGATAACTTTTGCAATGAGAATTGATTAGTTATATATCAGTGATTCATGTTTAAAACGATTCGTAATCATTCCTGATTTCTTGCATTCTACATTCTTGGATTCAACCTGCGAAATGTCTTGACTTAGCGCTTTTAGTATTCTGAAACTTTGATCATCTGCCAAAAATTGTTTGCTTACTTTTATTTATTAATTCGCATTACATACATTATATCATGCTTAGCATAATCCGAATCTACATTCGATAGTGTAGTTTGCATTACTCCCTTGGGATTCTATACCCCTTGTACTACAACTGCTTTTGCTGTGCACTTGCAGTAGTTTTATTTGGATAAAACCTGAGCCCTATCAAGTTTTTGGCGCCGTTGCCGGGGATTAATAGCTGCCTTTCGATTTCTAGTATTAGGATTTTGTCTAAGTTTTAATTTGTTTACTAACTTTTTGCTACTTTTCTTTGTTCCTGTTTCAGGTGTATGCCTAATCGCAGAACCAGAAGCAACAAGGAGAAGGAGCTTGTGACTTTGAGCATCGACGAACTAGCTAGGTTGGAGAGAACTAACAGGAAAGCTAAGAAGCAATCTACAATGGTGGCTCCACTTATCCTGGTTGAAGATGCAGAAGGTCACTTGGTTGACAGGGAAGGAAACATGAGAAACGAAGAGGGGCAGAGAATTGATCAAGAGGGGAATGTTATTGTTGAACAGCAGGTTCAACAAGTGAATGAGAACGTGGGAGTCCCTGCTGCTGCCAATAACGCTGCTGGGCGTTTTGTTCAGAGGACTCTAGGTGATTACAACAGACCTGATCAGTTCTATGCCAACAGAGCTGCAATCCGACCTCCTGCTTTCCAGAGAAACGATTTTGAGGTTAATCCTGTCTACTATCAGCTGGTTAGCCAGCATCCATTCCATGGCTTGCCTCATGAGCATCCTATGGATCACATAGAGAGGTTTGAGGACCTAGGTTCAAGTGTCAAAGCTACTAGAGTTAGCAATGACTTCCTGTTCTGCAAGCTTTTCTCTTACTCTCTTGGAGGAGAGGCTGCATATTGGCTGAAGCAACTGGAACCTGCTTCATTGACCACTAGGGAAGACACTAAAAACGCCTTTCTGAATAACTTCTATGATGATGCAAGATCAGAAGACATGAGGACGAAAATTGCATCCTTTACACAAGGCCCTACTGAAGCTTTTAAGGCTTCTTGGATCAGGTTCAAGTCTTATCAAAGGGACTGTCCTCATCATGGCTTTAGTCAGGTGCAATTACTTGGGATTTTCTTCAGGGGCATTGACTGAAAGTATCAGATGGCGCTGAATGCAGCAAGTGCAGGAAACTTCAACACCAACAGACCAGAGGAGGCGATCAGACCTTGGCAACACACCAGGAGGGTGACGCTCGTCACCCAAATCCAATGATCGACCCCGACTTGTCCAAAGTGAGTGACGCTCGTCACCAACCCAGTGACGCTCGTCACCAGACGCCACTTACTGCAGTTTTGCCTAAGACTTCAGATAATGCTAAGGAGACCGTGTATAAACCCAAGATACCCTATCCTAAGCATCCTAAGAAGTTTAACCAAGAGCTTGAAGATGCAAGATGCAAGGCCATCATGGACAAGTTGGTTATAGAGATCCCATTGATTGATGCTGTAAGGATCACTCCTGTTATAAGGAGGTATGTGAAGAGGATGGTGACCAATAACTTGAGTCTAGAGGCTGGGGCTATGATGATCAACGAGCAGGTCAGTGCAGTGATTCAGAACAGAGTTCCAGAGAAGCTTTCAGACCCATGAAGCTTTGTTTTTGACTGCACAATCTTCAATGACAAGTTTGAAAGGTCATTGTGTGATCTTGGTTCTAGTGTGAACCTCATGCCTCATTCTGTCGCCAAGAGCTTGGGGATGGCCGATTTTAAGGCTACAAGGATATCTCTTGTCCTAGCTGATAGATCCGTCAGAGTTCCTGAAGGAGTGATAGAGGATGTTCCTATCAAAGTAGGAGATTGTATGATTCCTACTGATTTTGTGGTTCTGAAATATGGAAAAGAACCCAAAGACCCCTTGATCTTGGCAGACCCTTCTTGGCTACTGCAGGAGCTATCATTGATGTCAGGAAGGGTAGAATAGAGCTGAATGTTGGTGATTTAATGATGAAATTCGAAA